TTTTTTGAGACAGAGTCTCACTCTGTCACCCAGGCTGGAGTGCAGTGGCGCTATCTTGACTCACTGCAACCTCTGCCTCCCGGGTTCAAGGAATTCTCCTACCTCAGCCTCCTGAGTAGCTGGGACTACAGGTGTGTGCCACCACGACCAGCTAATTTCTTTTGTATTTTTAGTAGAGATGGAGTTTCACCGTGTTGGCCAGGCTGGTCTTGAACGCCTGACCTCATGATCCACCTGCCTCAGCCTCCCAAAGTGCTGGGATTATAGGCGTGAGCCACCGCGTCCGGCCTGCAGAACTCTTTAGTGAGCACCTAACTACTGGATTCTTAGCCAAGTGGGCAGTGCTGGGGAGGACAGCCTTGGGCCTGCTCTTGGTCTCTTGGTCTGGCAGGGAGTAGACTGCTGTCGCTGATTACAGTGAAGTCGCATGTTAATTAGAGAGGCAGAATGTCTGGATGTCAAGAGGTGGTCCTCAACATGGCTGTGCCTGGGCCTGGATCTTGATCTGTCACTTCGTATCTGGTTGCAGTCTTGGGCAGGTACCTTATCGTCTCACTGTGCCTTAGTTTCCCTATCTGAAAACGGGGCTGATGGTTGTCCCTATGTTGCAGGGCTGTTGGAAGGATGAAGGTTGTAGGTAGACGCAGGGCTCACAGAGTGCCAGACGTGTGGGATTGCTCTGTGAATCTTGGCTAATTCATCTTAGTTCTTTTAACTAGAGGACTGTAGGCGCTGGACCCAGACCGCCCAGCTGGGCCTGTCCATGTGGCCTTGGCAGGTCACTTGACATCCTTGCGCTCAGCTTCCTCACCACGGTGGGGCTGCTGGTGGACTCAGTGCAGGTGAGGGCTGAGTCAGCCCCCAGCCATCTGCCTCCCTGCGCGGCCCATGGCAAGTGGCTTCAGCCAGATGATGGGGTGGCTGATGGCCTCAACGTGGGCATCACCAGGGACCCTGTGAACCAGGATGGCCCCCCTGTTGTTCTCTGGAGGGCAGGTATCTGTGGGGTTAAGGATGTGTTTGCGGGGTTGCTTGGTGAATGCCAGCCCACACCCCTACACTGTGAGCCCCTGGAGGATGTGGATGGATCTGCCCATCGCCGTGGTCCCCAGCCCGGCGCAGGGCAAGCATGCTGAGATGGGCTGTTCTCACCTGGGCCTGGGTCTGTAGGGTCTGCACAGGGTCCCACAGAGCATGGTTGCTTTTGGGGCGGGTCCACATTCTGGGGGGCAGAAAGACCAGCCAGGAGGAAGTGGCAACTGGAAAGAGGCATGAGAAAGTAAAACAGTCTGTTGAGTCTGTGCCTCAAGGAGGAAACCCAAGAGGGGGCCCCACTATGTCCAACACGATGGCACTGTGTGTGTTTTGGTTTTTTCTTTGAGACAGTCTCACTGTTGCCCGGGCTGGAGTGCAGTGGCGCACTCTCGGCTCACTACAACCTCTGCCTCCCAGGTTAAGCGATTCACCTGCCTCAGCCTCCCTAAGTGCTGGGATGACAGGCGTGAGCCACCACGCTCAGCCTTCATTTCTTTTTAGCACTGAATAATATTCATTGTATGGATAAACCAGAGTTTATTTATCCATTTACATTTTTTTTTGTGAGAAAATATACAGAAACATAAAATTTTCCTTCTTACCCATTTTTCAGTGTACACTTCAGTGATACTAAATACACTCACAATGTTGTGCAGTTGTCACCACTGTCCATTTCCAGAGCTTCTTTATCATCCCAAACAGAAATTTGGTACCCGTTAAACAATAACTGCCCTTTCTCCTTCTGCTCACACCTCCTGGTAATCTCTATTCTATTTTCTGTCTGTATGAATTTGACTCCTCTAAGTACTTCATATAATCGGAATCATATAATATTTGTCCTTTTGTGCCATGTTTATTGCACTTAGCATAATGTTTTCAAGGTTCATCCATGTTGTGACATTCATGTATCATAATTTCCTTCCTTTTTAGGGCTGAGTAATATTCTGTTGTACATAGGTATATACCACATTTTGATAATTCATTCATCTTCTGGTGAACATTTGCACTATTTCTATCTTTTGGCTATTTTGAATAGTGCTGCTATGAAAACCAATGTGCAAGTATCCATTTGAGTTCCTGCATTTATTTATTTATTTATTTATTTATTTATTTATTTATTTAAGACAGAGTCTCACTTTGTTGCCCAGGCTGGAGTGCTGTGTTGTGATCTTGGCTTAGTGCAACCTCTGCCTCCTGGGTTCAAGTGATTTTCGTGCCTCAGCCCCCTGAGTAGCTGGCACTACAGGCGAGTGCCACCATGCCTGGCTAGCTTTTTGTATTTAGTAGAGACGGGGCTTCGCCATGTTGGCCATGCTGGTCTTGAGCTCCTGACCTCAGGTGATCTGCCCAACTTGGCCTCCCAAAGTGCTGGGATGACAGGCATGAGCCACCACCCCCGACTGAGTTCCTGCTTTTTGTTGTCTAAGGTATATACCTAGAAGAATTTCTGGATCACATGGTAATTCTTTTTTTTTTTTTGGAGACAGAGTCTCACCGTTGCCCAGGCTGGAGTACAGTGGTGCAATCTCAGTTCACTGCAACCTCTGCCGCCCAGGTTGAAGCGATTCTCCTGCCTCAGCCTCCCAAGTGGCTGGGATTACAGGCGCCTGCCATCCCACCTGGCTAATTTTTGTATTTTTAGTAGAGACCGGGTTTCACCATGTTAGCCAGGATGGTCTCGCTCTCCTGACCTCGTGATCTGCCTGCCTCGGCCTCCCAAAGTGCTGGGATTATAGGTGTGAGCCACCGTGCCCAGCCATCATACGATAATTCTATGTTTAGATTTTTGAGGAACTGCCATACTGTTTTTTTCCACAGTGGCTGCACTATTTTACATTTTCAGCAGTAATGCCCATGAGTTTGAATTTCTCCATATCCTCACCAACATTTGTTATATTAATATATAGCTATCCTAATGAGTATGAAGCGATATCTCATTGTGATTTTTATTTGAATTTCCTTAATGAGTAATCATGACCATTTTTTCTTTTTCTTTTTCTTGAGACAGAGTCTTGCTCTGTTTCCCAGACTGGAGTGCAGTGTCGCAATCTCGGCTCACTGCAACTTCCATCTCCTGGGTTCAAGTGATTCTCTTGCCTCAGCCTCCCAAGTAGTTGGGATTACAGGCACACACCACCATGCCCGGCTAATTATTGTGTTTTTAGTAGAGACAGGGTTTCTCCATGTTGACCAGGTCAGTCTCAAACTCCTGACCTTAGGTGATTTCAGGTGATCTGCCCGCCTCAGCCTCCCAAAGTGCTGGGATTACAGGCGGGAGCCACCGCGCCTGGCCTGATAAGCATTTTTTTGTGTGTTTGATGGCTAGTTGTATATTTCCTTTAGAGAAGTGTCTATTCAAGTTCTTTGCTTATTTTTGAATTGGGTTCTTTGTGTCTTTTGCTGTTCAGTTGTAGGAGTTCTTTATAGAGTATGGATGCTAATCCCTTATGAGCTACATGCTTTGCAAATATTTCTCCCATTTATGTGAACTATTTTTTCACTCTTTTTTTCCACTCTTTTAATTAAAAATAGGGTTTAATTCCAGACTCTCTTATTCTATGCCAGTGACCCATATATCTGTCTTTATGATAGTACCACATTGTTTTCATTATTGTATCTTTTTACAGTAAGTTTGGAAAGCAGGAAATATGAGTCCTCCAACCCTGTTTTTTGTTTGTTTGTTTTTTAAGATTTTTTTTTCTTGTTGGCTATACAGGTATTTTGTTTTGAAATTCTATACGAATTTTAGGATGGGTTTTTCTGTTTCTGCAAAAAACACTTGAGATTTTGATAGGGATTGCATTGAATCTGTAGATTGCTTTGGGTAGTGCTTGCAGCAATGTTTTGTGGCTTTCAGTGTACAAGATTTTTGCCTTCTTGATTAAATTTCTTTCTAAGTATTTTATTCTTTTCAATGCTATTATAAATTGAGTCATTTTCTTAATTTTTGGATTGTTCATTGTTAGTATGTAGAGATGAAATATTTTTGTGTGTTGATTTTATATCTTGCAACCTTGCTGCATGCTTTTAATTAGCTCTAACTTCAAAGAAAAAGATTTTAGGATTTTCTATGTATAAAAATCATGTCATCTGTGAACAGAGAAAATTTTACTTTTTCCTTTACAATTTGGATGCCTTTTATTCCCTTTTCCTTTTCTTGCCTAATTGCTCTGGTTGGAACTTCCAGTACTATGTTGAATATAAGTGGTAAGAGCAGACATCTTTATCTTGTTCCTGATCTTAAAGAAAAAGCTTTCAGTCTTTCACCATTAAGGTATGATGTTAGCTGTGGGCTTTTCATATAAAAATGTCCTTCAATATATGAGGTGGGATGATTCCAGGAATCCCCTCAAAATCATCTGAGGATGTTCAAATCCCTTATATAAAGTGCTGTAATATTTGCACCTACACACATCCTTCCATATATTTTAAATTATCTCTAGGTTACTTATAATACCTAACACAATGTAAATGCTATGTAAATCGTTGTACTGTATTTTTAAAACTTGTATTTTTTGGCTGTAGTCTTATTTTGTATTGCTTTTCCCCAAATATTTTATATCTGGGCCGGGCGCGGTGGCTCAAGCCTGTAATCCCAGCACTTTGGGAGGCCGAGACGGGCGGATCACGAGGTCAGGAGATCGAGACCATCCTGGCTAACAGAATGAAACCCTGTCTCTACTAAAAATACAAAAAAATTAGCCGGGCGTGGTGGCAGCGCCTGTAGTCCCAGCTACTTGGGAGGCTGAGGCAGGAGAATGGCGGGAACCCGGGAGGCGGAGCTTGCAGTGAGCCGAGATCGCGCCACTGCACTCCAGCCTGGGCGACAGAACGAGACTCCGCCTAAAAAAAAAAAAATATTTTATATCTGCTGTTGATTTAATCCCTGGATATGGAACCTGCAGAGACAGAGTGCCAACTCTATGGCCTTTATCATGTTGATGAAGTTTCCTTCTGTCTTAGTCCATTTTGTGCTGCTATAACAGAAGACTTGAAACTAGGGAATTTATAATGAGCAGAAATGTATAGGCTCATGCTTCTAGAGGTTTGGAAGTCCAAGATCAGGGAGCCAGCATCTGGTGAGGGTCTTCTTGCTGTGTTATCCCATGGTGGAAGGCAGAAGGGCTAGAGAGAATGAGAGGGATTAAGAGGAAGAAAACAAACCCGAAACTTCAAGCCCTTTTGTAATTGGCATTAATCCATTCATGACGGTAGAGCCCTCATGACCTGTACACCTCCCATTAGGTTCTATCTCTCAGTGCTGTTACTTTGGGGATTAAGTTTCCAATACATGCTTGTTGACACATTCAAACCATACCATCTTCTAGACCTAATTAATTAAATATTTATATCAAGAAAGGATGTTGACATTTATCAAATGCTTTTTCTAAAACAACTGAAATGGCCATGTATTTTTTCCTTCATTCTATTAATGTGGTATATTTCATTGATTGATTTTTGATTTTTACATGTCGAACCATCCTTGTATTCCAGGAACAAATCAATGTATACTTCTTTTAACATGCTGCTGAATTTGATTTGCTGGATTTTGTTGATTTTTTCCATCAATATTCCTAAGGAGTATTGGTCTGTAGTCTTTTCCATTTTCTTTTTTTTCATAGAGACAAGGTCTTGCTGTATTGCCCAAGTGTGGTCTTTAATTCCTGGCATCAAGTGACTCTCCTGCCTCTCTCTCCCAGAGTGGTTTTCTTTTCTTGAAGCGACTTTGTCTGATTTTGGTATCAGGGTAAAGCTGACCTCACAGAATTAGTTATGAAGTGTTCCCTCCTCTTCAGTTTTTTTTTGTAAGTTTGAGAAGGATTGGTATTAGTTCTTTACATTTATGGTAGAATTAACCAGCAAAGCTATCTGGTCCTGAGCTTTTCTTTCTTGAGATATTTTTCATTATTGATTTAATCTTACTAGTTATTGGTTAGATTTTCTATTTCTTCATGGTTTAGTTTTGGTGGATTGTGTTTTTAGGAATATTTTCATTTCATTTAGGTTATCTAATTTGTTGGTATACAAATGTTCATAGTATTCTCTTACATTCCTTTTTATTTCTGTAAAGTTCATGGTAATGTCCTCACTTTTATTCCTGATACTAGTAATTTGAGTCTTCTCTTATTTTTCTTTGTCAGTCTAGCTAGTTTTGTCATTTTTATTGATATCATCAAAGAATCGACTTTGGTTTTCTTGATTTTTCTCCACTGTTTTTCGATTCTCTATTTCATTTGTCTTCACTCTAATCTTGATTATTTCCCTCCTTCTGTGAGCTTTGGGTTTAGTTTGCTCTTCAAGCTCTCTGGTCTTTAGTTTTTCCTTTTCTCACTCCTTAAAGTGTGATGTTAGGTTACTGATTTAAGATTTTTTTTTAAATATATGCATTTGCAACTATAATTTTCCCTCTCAGCACTGCTTTTGCTGCATCCCTTAGGTTTTGGCGTAGTGTAGGGTGTGTGTGTGTGTGTGTGTGGATGTGTGTGTGTAGGTGTGTGTTTCCGCTTTTCTCATGTTACTTCCTAATTTCCCTCATGATTTCTCTTTTGACCCATTGGTTTTCTTTGTTTGTTTGTTTGTTTGTTTGTTTGAGACAGAGTCTCGCTCTGTCACCCAGGCTGGAGTGCAGTGGCACGAATTCAGCTCACTACAACCTCCACCTCCCAGGTTCAAGGAATTCTTGTGCCTCAGCCTCCCAGGTAGCTGGGATTACAAGCGTGCACCACCATGCCTGGCTAAGTTTTGTATTTTTAGTAGAGATAGGGTTTTGCCATGTTGGCCAGGCTGGTCCCAAACTCCTGGCCTCAAGTGATCTGCCTGCCTCAGCTTCCCAAAGTGCTGGGATTACAGGTGTGAGCCACTATGACTGGCACCCCATTGGCTATTCAATTTTCACATATTTGTGAATTTTTTAGTTTTCTATTATTGATTTCTAGCTTCATTGTGGGTAGTCAGAAAATATATTTTATATGATTTCAACCTTTTAAAATATATTAAAACTGGTTTTTGTAGCCACAAACTTGTTTTGCGGCCTATCTTGGGGAATGTTTCATGTGCACGTGAGAAAAATATCTATATTGTTGGATGGAGTGTTCTGTGTATGTCTACCAGGTATAATTGGCTTATGGTGTTGTTGAAGTCCTCTATTTCCTCATTTATCTTCTGTCTGGTGGTTCTGTCTCTTACTGAAAGTGGTGTTTTGAAGTCTCCAAATATTATTATAGAGGTATCTATTTCTCCCTTCAACTCTGCCAGTGTTTGCTTCATACATTTTGAAGCTCTGATATTTGGTGCATATATGTTTATAACTGTTGCATATTCTTGATGAATTTATCCTTTTATTAATACATAATATACTTTTTAATCTCTTGTAATAGTTTTTGACTTACAGTCTATTTTGCCTGATGTTAGTATAGTTACCTCATCTCTCTTTTGGTTACTATTTGTATGGGAATTTTTTTAGGTCCTTTCATTTTCAACTTCTTTGTGTCTTTAGATCTGAAGTGAGTCTTTTGTAGACAGCACTTAGTTGTCTCATAGTTTAAAAATCCATTCTGCCAATCTATGCCTTTTGGTAGGAAAATTTGGCTGGGTGCGGTAGCTCATGCCTATAATCCCAGCACTTTGGGAGGCCAAGGCAGGCAGATCACCTGAGGTCAGGAGTTTGACACCAGCCTGGCCAACATGGTGAAACCCTGTCTCTACTAAAAAAATACAAAAACCAGATGGGCATGGTGCGTACACCTGTAATCCCAGGGAGAATTGCTTGAACCCAGGAGGCAGAGGTTGCAGTGAGCCGAGATTGGGCCACAGCACTCCAGCCTGGGCAACAGAGCAAGACTCTATCTCAAAAAAAAAAAAAGGAAAGTTTAACCTATTTACATTTGAATTAATTGCTGATAAGGAATGTGTTACTACTGCCATTTTGCTATGTGTTTCCTGTATGTCTTGTAGCTTTTTTGACCCTTATTTATTCTATTACTGCCTTCTTTTGTGTTTTGTTCACTTTTTATAGCAACACATTTAGATTCCCTTCTCATTTTCCTCTGTGTTATGTTCTATAAATATTTTCTTTGTGTACATGGGGAAACAGGACAAGCTGCCACAAGTATGTAAGGTGATGCACATGTTCAGTCCCTGTGGGGATCCTGTGTACCATCCTCTCCATGCCCTCCTGTCGTCACTCCACTGCTCAGCCTTAAAGATCTGTCATTCTAAGAAACATTCTTAATGGAAAAGTGGTACAATGATATTTTAATGGTGATTCTGGAAAAAAAAAGAAAGACAAATGAAAAGCATTTCTAGCCCTCTGGGAGAACTCACTGGTTTACTGTTGGTAGAAGCTTCTTAAGGCCTTTCAGACACACTGTGTCCCATCGTGATCCCAGCACGGGCCACCCTGAGCCCTGTGTCCCTGTATCTGTGCCAGTGTGAAGATCTGCAGAGCCCACGTCTGAGCATTCTTGATCTCGGAACTCCTGAGCTCAAGTGATCTGCCCACCTTGGCCTCCCAAAATGTTGGTGTTACAGGGGTGAGCCATCGCACCTGGTCTGAGCCACCATGCCTGGCCCTGGGCATTCTGAGCCACCTGTGCCACCCTAGGCCCCAGCTATTTCCTGATGGCCCTGCAGGTGGCCCATGAAAAGTAGATTCTTAGCCCCTCTGAGTTTGATTTCTGTGGCGAGCTCTGTGAAAGTGGGTTTCCAGCACAACCCTTCACTTCCATCTTCTGGTGGGGCAGGTTGGCAGCAGGCAGGTTGGCAGGCCAGGGGCAGCTCTCAGCTGTGCAATGCACACCACACGGGCTGGGATGGCTGTGATTCTGCGGGTGCACCCTCCTGGTGGGCAGCCACTTCGGGGGTGATGCCCTCCTGTGGTGTCAGTACAAGGCTGTCGTCTCTGGTCCCCTTGGGCTGTGCTAGCTCATGCCCCTGTGCTGTCTGTTTTAGATCAGACGTATTGTGACCGCCTGGTGCAGGACACGCCTTTCCTGACAGGCCACGGGCGCTTGAGTGAGCAGCAGGTGGACAAGATCATCCTCCAGCTGAACCGCTACTACCCACAGATCCTTACCAACAAGGAGGCGGAAAAGGTGCTGAGGAGGTGAGGGGGGTGCCCGAGATACTGCTCAGTTTCCCTTCCCTTCTGGGCTGGGAGAAGCTGGTGACCAGCCCTGGGTCATTCTCTCACGGGAATGACACACTAGGTATGTCAGGATTCAGAGGTGACATATCTGGACCTGGCTACTAAGGCTGCCTGAGCTACAAACTGACCCTTTGGGGCCCTTTGGACCAAACAAGCCCAGAACGTCAGCTCTCTGTGCCTCAGTTTCTTCCTATGTCATTGGGCATGCTGTCCCCGAGTTGCTGGGAGATTATAGGAGATAACGTGACAATACATGAAGCACATGACAGTATAAGACTTGGAGGGAGGCGAGAAAGAGGGCGAGAGGGAGGGGTGAGGAGGGTGGAGGCAGAGGGAGAGCTGAAGTGGGATGGGGAACAGATAGTCCTGGCCCACCCCAGTGCCACAGTGCTTTGCATTCTGCATCTTCTGAAGGTTCAAAGTGGGCAAACAATTGCTTCCTTTTCTCTAATTTCTATGTTACTGTACGCGGCTGGAAAGCCCAGCATGTCACAGGTAGGCAACCGAGCTTCTAGGAAGGCAGATGCTGACCCACCCCATGGCCGTGCCACAGTCTGCCCCTCTCAGCAGTGCTGAGCGGGCTGGTCCCCTCGGAACCCCAGCTTCCCCATGTGTGGAGCAGACGCTGAGAGCCCTGCCTGGCAGGTGTGGTGTGGACTGACTGAGCTGAGCTGGGTAAACGCCTGCCCGAGAGCCCTTATCACCAGATGGCCCTGCAGCCCTGTGGGCACCGCGCCCATCACCCCATCTCACAGAGGTGATCCCAAGGCCCAAGAGGCAGCCGCTTGCCCGGGGCCGCTCATCTCAGGAGTGCCAGGCCATGTCCTGAGTTCATCCTATTGTTTGGGAAAGTGCCCAGGGCCGGTGGCTGTTGCTCTGTCACATGGCCCTGGCCTCTCAGAGCTGCAGAGCTGGAAACAGCAGGGTGGCTCTGCTGGAGATGGCATTTAAGATGCAATTCCTGGGCTCTGTCTTGGGAAGTCTGTCCTGCCCCATCACCCCAGTGCCAGGTGGCCCTGAGGGGACATTGGATGAGAGAGTTAGCCACACCCTGCCGACCCCGCCCACATCTGTGGCTCTGGCGCCCGCACTGAGCCACCTGTTCCTTGACAGCCATCACCAAGACCAGAGGGATGGGCAGTGAGTGCCAGAGACCCCTAGGCCTTCAGGGTACAGGTCCTGCCAGCCTCCTTCCCCTCTGGGTGACCCCAATTGAGTCCCTTCTCTTGGAGCTGTCATTTCCTCACTTGGCAGGGGGTCATGATGCAGGGCTATCCTTAGGGTTGGGGCATCTCCTGGCACAATGAGGTTGGCCCACAACAGAACACAAGTCAACACGGGCCCTGCTACTGGCTCAGGTGCTTCTTCCATTGTGAAGGTGATACAGTAATTTTAAAAGTTAGGAGCTCAAATCCATCTCTTATTATTGTAATTGAAGTCTAATGCATGTTCACTTTTAGAAAGTTTAGAAAGTTTCGGATGTTTATACAAGAAAAACCACATATTCCTTCCTCACAGACACCATAGCTTCTGCCACCCATCTGGCTGTCATTTCCATACTGCCATGGTTTTACTGTGGCCATGTAGAATGGTATGCTGCCACCAGGTGGCAGCACTGGGCCACAGACTCCAGGTCCTGGCGGTCAAGGCCCAGTGGCCTGTCCACTGACCTTGAGAACCACACATTTCTCTGTCAGACACATCAAAAGAGCCAATACTTTTGTCACTCTTTTCTTTTTTTTTGAGATGGAGTCTGTCACCCAGGCTGGAGTGCAGTGGCGTGATCTCGGCTCAGTGCAACCTCTGCCTCCCAGTTTCCAGTGATCCTCTGGCCTCAGCCTCCCAAGTGGCTGGGATTAAACATGCACCACCATGCCTGGCTAATTTTGTGTACTCTTAGTAGAGATGGGGTTTCGCCATGTTGGCCAGGCTGGTGTCAAACTCCTGACCTCGAGCTCCTGATCTGCCTGCCTCGGCCTCCCAAAGTGCTGGGATTACAGGCATGAGCCATCGCGCTCAGCTTCAACTTATTTTTTAAAAACTTGAATCACATTCCTGTAGACTGCAAAATAACAGAAGTTAGCACTTATACCTCACTTCATTAATTCCCTGTCATAGCCTACCATGAGGGTTCATTATCCCCTTTTTACAAATGAAGAAACCAAGTCTCAGAGGGGTGGAGTAGCTGGCTGAGGTCACACAGGAAGCCACACTATGTCCTAACACTTGGAATGATGTCACCAGCCCTGTGCTTTCTTCTTTTTTTTTTTTTTTTTCTTTTGAGACAGAGTCTTGCTCTGTTGGCCAGGCTGGAGTGCAGTGGCGCGATGTCAGCTCACTGCAAGCTCCGCCTCCCAGGTTCACGCCATTCTCCTGCCTCAGCCTCCCGAGTAGCCGGGACTACAGGCGCCGCCACCACACCTGGCTAATTTTTTTGTATTTTTTAGTAGAGACAGGGTTTCACCGTGTTAGCCAGGATGGTCTCGATCTCCTAACCTCGTGATCCGCCTGCCTTGGCCTCCCAAAGTGCTGGGATTACAGGCGTGAGCCACTGTGCCCGGCCAGCCCTGTGATTTCTTTGTGACCGCTCCCGGCCTGTTTCCCAACCTCCCACCCCACAGGGAGTATGAGGAGTAGCAGTGATGCCTGTGACAGAGGCAATGCCAGGCACTATGTGGTGTGGGTAAGGGGCAGGATGTCACAGGAGCTGCCATCCAGCAGGTGTCCTGACACTCAATGGGGAAGCTGAGGCTGGGGGCCTGACCTTGGTGCCCTGCCCTGACCCACAGCCAGCCCCCCTGGCCTGATCTTCCCTGGCACCCCCTTATACCCTCAGTTCCGGAACCCCAAGGCGTCCTTGCGTGTGCGGCTCTGTGACCTCCTGAGCCACCTGCAGCGGAGCGGCGAGCGGGACTGCCAGGAGTTCTACCGAGCCCTGTATATCCATGCCCAGCCCCTGCACAGCTGCCTGCCCAGCCGCCACGCTCTGCGTAAGTTCCACGTCCCCAACCATGCATGCTTGGTGCCGGCCCAGGGAGGGCACCCCAGCCTGCTGCTGATGCCATGGATGTTCTCCGTGACCTCCCAAGTCTGCTGCAGCCCAGGCCTGGCATCCCCTCTCGCCTCAGCCCTTCCCCAGAGGCCACCCTCAGCCCCGAGGCGAGAGTGTGGCAGGCACAGGCAGTGCAGATGTTGGTCTCTGTCTCCCACTTTCTCCATCTCTCTCTGTCATGGCAGTTTTCACACAGAAGGGGGCATCGTGTGCGTCCTCTCTTGCCCTTCCTCTTCTAGCCTCATTCCAGGGGGATCCCTTCCTGTCTGTGTGGACAGCAGCCTTGTTCCCACAGCTGCGTAGCGCTCCTAGGCGGTCCCCGCTGGAATTACCCAACCCCATGATGAACCCTTTCATTGCCGTGATCTGCACACGTGTGGGGGTTTCCACAGGGCGTGGTCAGGCCCGGATGGCTGGTCCGAAGCACATGCATTTCAGCTCCGAGGCTCCTGTCCTCAGGCAGTGTGCGCTCAGGCCCCGGGAGTCATGTGGATGCCAGTAGCCTGGGCCCACAGAGCTGCCGGGACGTTCAGGGCGCCTCAAGGTGAAGATGGCAACTCTGATCTGACGCCTCTGTGGTCAGGGCCCTAGGAGGAGGGGCTACTGCCCCTTGGCCCTCAAGCAACAGGACAGAGACCAGAGGGACTGGGTGGCTCACTCCAGGCTACTGGGCTGGGGGTCTCTGAGCCCCCGGAGGCCTCCCCAGGCCTCACAGGACACAGTGCAGATGGTGGGCAGGGAGAGCTCGAGGGGAGGCCCAGCCCTGCAGGAGGGACTGACTCTCCCTCCCGAGCCACGAATATGCCACAGGGGGCTTACAAAACCAGGCAGGGCCAAGCCTCGGCCCCACTGGAGGTGGAGCACCTTCTGTGGCTCCCGCGTGCCTTTAGGCCCGTCCAGCAGGTCTCAGGCTGGATAACCTCCGGGGGAGGCCTGGGCAGAAAGCTTCTGGCCCAGCTGCACCCAGGGAGGCAGCCACCAGGCCGACAGCAGCCACGCTGTCCACAGCAATGTTCATGCTGCGTTTGGTGCCTGTGGCCACCAGGGTACAATGACCTTCCCCATGCCTGTGGCACTTGAAGTCACAGCAGCTGGACCACCGGAGAAGACCCAGACTGTGCATAGTTCCCTGAGGAGGGTTGGTCTCGGGTACCACGGCCTGGTCTGGCCTGGCGGCCCCAGGAGGCAGCAGTGGCCTTGGGCTTCCTACGGGGTGACGACCTTGCTCTCCGGCCCTGCCCATTGACTAACCATGCTCTGTGGTTTTGTTTCTAGAGAACTCAGATTGCACACAGCTAGACTCGGGCAGCCAGAGCGGCGAGCTGAGTGACAGGGGTAACACCTCCCTGCTGCCCTCCCTCTCTCTCCCTCTCTTTCCCTCTCTCTTTACCCTCCCCAGGGCTCCATCTCCGCCTCAGGGGCTTCTCCACCCCAAGTGTGGCTCCATTCCTGGCCTTCTGTTGGTGACAGACCCCCTAAGGTGCTCGCTTGGGGGCTCTTCAGGCAGCACCTCAGCCTGGCACCCCCTCCCCTGCGCAGCCCCCGAGCCTCAGGACCCCACCCCTCTGAGGCCCAGGGGAGCCCTGTTCATGCTGGTTTCTCCCCAGGACCCATGAGCTTCCTGGCTGGTCTGGGCCTTGCTGTGGGACTGGCCCTGCTCCTGTACTGCTATCCACCAGGTGGGTGCAGGTGGACCCTCACAGGGCTGGGCCTGCTTCCCCTCTGCCACCAAGCCAGGGCCCCAGACCCTGCCCAATTTAGGACCCCTTGGCCTCTCCACACCTCAGTGTCCACACTTGAGCAGTGGGATGGTGTCACCTTGCAGGGCTCATGAGAAATGGGATGTGAGGAGGCTCCCAGCGTCCACTGGCTCCTGCCACCCTTGGGAACCAGAAAATGATGACCCCTAGCAGGAGGAGGGGTGCAGCCAGGACTCTGGGTGTTACAAAGCCCTGCCACACCTGTGACCTTGAGCCATGTGGGGCCCTTGAGCAGGTCACGTGCCCCAGGGCCTTGGGTCTCTCCACCAGCCACAGGCCTGATGCATAGGAGCCTCCCAGGGCCCGTCTACTGGCGCCCAGCCTGGCCTGCCCCGTCTCCCTTTTCTGTGATGCCTGAGTTTGTCGTGCTGGGAGGCCTACTGAGCGCGAGGACACAGGCACACATGGCAGGACTCAAGGCCCCTGGGTCACTTGGGTGGGAGCTGGGGGCTCTGGAATCTGCCCTAATTCTTGTCTTTTCAACTCAAGCCAAGACCATGACCGGGAGGGAGCACCCTGCCCCAGTGCCCGCTCGCACCCACCCCCATGGGAGGGATGGAAACACAGAATTCACCTCTGGGACTGGTTCGTGAGCTTTTGCCTCCCCTTTTGTCTTCTAGACCCCAAGGGCCTGCCAGGGACCCGGCGCGTCCTCGGCTTCTCGCCTGTCATCATCGACAGACATGTCAGCCGCTACCTGCTGGCCTTCCTGGCAGATGACCTAGGGGGGCTCTGACAGACCCTGGACCCAGGGCCTCACCCGCCACTCAACCAAAGAGTCCTCCAGCCGACCCGCCAAGGGGACTGCTGCTTCTTTTTCTAAATGCTTATTTTTCATTATTTATAATTTGTGTAAAAAACACACCTCCGGCCGGGCACGGTGGCTCACGCCTGTAATCCCAGCACTTTGGGAGGCCAAGGCGGGTGGATCACGAGGTCAGGAGACCGAGACCATCCTGGCTAACACGGTGAAACCCCGTCTGTACTGAAAATACAAAAAACTAGCCGGGCGAGGTGGTGGGTGCCTGTAGTCCCAGCTACTCGGGAGGCTGAGGCAGGAGAATGGCGTGAACCTGGGAGGCGGAGCTTGCAGTGAGCCGAGATCGGGCCACTGCACTCCAGCCTGGGCGACAGAGCGAGACTCTGTCTCAAAAAAAAAAAAAACAAAACAAAAAAAAACAAAAAACACCTTCATCTTACAAGGTGCTGACCATATTAAATGTTCAAGTTCCCTCAGCCTGTCTCGTTCCTCAGTCTCAGGAGGGCTTCAGAGATGACGGTAGCTATGGCTGCTTCAGCTGGGACTGGCCCTGGTGTTCCCGGCATCTCCACATCCAGCTGCTGGCACAGACCCCCAGACAGGACGCCCCCAACATGGGCTCACCTGCCTCGGCTAAGCCCCCGGGCACTGCCTCCCCACCTCAGATGTCCCCCACACTGCCCCCTCCTCCCACCTTGTGTGCCTCTCTCTGTCACACACACACACACACACACACACACACTCTCTCTCTCTCTCTCTCTCTCTCTCTCCCTCTCTCTCTCTCTCTCTCTGGCTGCTGAGCCTGGGCCGGAGACCTGCTTCCCTCCCCTTGTCAGCTCCTCCCCCAAGCCTTTTAGTGGGGAAACAAGAATATTTGTCAACCCGCAGAATCATCATGAGTTTGCATTTTCCAGGGGGTTTCTGGAGGCACCCAGGCTTTGCCCCAGAAGGTACTGGGAGCCCCTAGCTCTGGGGTGGTGCCACCGGCAGGGCAAGGCTATGAGTGCAGCTCCTGGAGGGACCATGCTCAGTCAGTCGCAGGGTCGCTGCGCATGTTACAGTGGGAACCAGGCTGACAGCGGAGTGTGGAGCTCCAGGACATGATGTCCCGTTACTGGGCGGCGCTGCTGCTTGGTCATCACAGTGCCTGCCCCTTCAGGGATCTGAGGGCCAGGGGCAAGGAAAGCCAGAGCCTCAGAGCCCTCCCACCTGCCAGGCTGCCACGCGCCCACTGAGTGGGGTGGCGGGGGGACAGTCCTAGCTGCCCTCTCCCTCCTCCACCCTGAGCCGCGGGGCCAGGGCCTGTGCTGCAGTCTCAGCCCGTTCGCCCACCTGTGAAATGGGATCCCTCCCTCGGGACTCCTCCTTGCGCGTGGGTTCTGTCACAGCCCCCCTGCCTCGGAAATCCTTTTAGGAATTGACCACCTTGCTCCAGGTGCCCGTCATGCCTGGGTAAAGGAGACACATACTTAGTGAAGGTGACAGGTGTCTAGGTGAAGGGTGTAGACAGGTGTGACTTGTCCCTGGAGAGCTAAGGAGGGGTCTCCAGGGACATTAACATTCTATTACGGCGTCAGCTGAAGGCAGGAAACCTCCGAGGCAGGCAGGGCACAGGCCGGTGTGTGGCCTGGGCAAGTCCTAGGTGGCCTGGCCAGAGGCCGTGGAGGACACACACACCTCAGGGCTGCCTGACACCACCTGAGGCCCTGACTCCCCAGGCCCCGTGGGCAGGTGTCATTCCTCAGCGAGGGGCTGCCTGGCCCCAGGACTGCTGCCTTCCCTGTCCATCTGTGTGTACTCACCGCCCTGCCCCGAGGCCCACATCAGCCAGGTCCTGAGCCCCACTGTCCTTGGACTGCCCTCCCAGCGCCCAGCTACCCCCAGCTCCATCCCTGACCAACTGGACTCAAGCCTGGGTCTGAGTCTGTGACGTCCCTGACCACCAACCAGGCCCACTCTTGCATCTGCCGCCTCCCACCTGGTGGCTGCCCCACCCTTTGAGGCTGGAGCCTGGAGGAGGGAGAATGATAGGCACCCGTGTCTGGGCCTCAGCCACCCATCAGGCCCAGCCCTGCCAACCACCGGGCCAACCAGTTCCTGTGACCAGCAGTGACCTAGGTCCCCAGGGAGGGGAAGGCAGCCTTGGGCAGTGAGGCCCTCCTGGCTGTCCTGAGCCCCTGCTTCCACACTGCATCCACAGATGGCCGTGTCCTGTGCTTCCACACCTGTGCTGCGGGTGTTCAGGCAAAAACCATGCTGCTCCCTCAGCTTGGGACTCCTTACCAGCCCCGCCCATCAACTCATCCTTCAGGAATGCCACCTCCTCCAGGAAGCCCTCATGATACCCTAGTAAGAAGAGCAGTTTCCTCCGAGCTACCCCACCTGGACATGGGATGTTGTTCTCACATTCAGAACTGTGCAGGAGCTGGTAGGAGATGCTGGGGTCGAGGGAACTCCCATTACCAAAGCACTGGTGTGAGGGAGGGGTTGTAGGAGAGCTAGAGGCGAAATGCAGGTTGTGAGAGTGAGTGAAGGAAGGGGGGGGTATGAGGAAAGGGGTGTGAGGGATGGGCTGTGGATGAGGGAGGGAGATGAAGGAAGGGGAATGAGGGGGTGTGTGAGGTAGGTGAGGAAGGAGATAAGGGAGGGG